AGACACAGTAAATATCATCATAAATACCTATCTAAATCATTATCATAGCAGCAAACAACTATCTGCTATGTAAAGATACAGTGGAATGATTGTGTCCTTACCAGAGAGACTGAGATCTCGCTGAAATCCCTTAGTGTGTGTTGTAACCTAAACTTCTCTGTTCTATGTTTTGGGGGCTGGTTTGTGCAAGTTAGTGCAGGTTAATGCATTAGAGTCCCTTGAAACTGTTGGATCTCTCTGCACTTGTAAACAGACAGAGAATTACCTTCCACACTGTGTTGGAAAAGCAAAAGTGCAAAATAAAAATTTTAAAACAAAGTATTTTGTATGTTATTTAACTGATTAATGTGCACTCATTTTATTTCAGAGTCTCTGCTGCTGTTTTGAGACTCTCTTCTGCTTCATACTTGCTCAGTTAACATATAGTAGAAAGACAAACTTTCTATGAATGAGAACAAGTATATAGTGAATCAGCTGGATTAAAACACAGTGTAGGTGACCACAGAAAGCAGGAGGGAAACTAAATGTTGGTGCAACAAGCTGACACTAGATAGAGGAAAGCTGATTTTATACTTCTGTGTTGACTCTTTAGAAATGTAACTGATCACAATTGTGATTGATCTGCTTTGTAGTAATATGCGATATTACAGTAATATTTAACAGGCTGTAATTGTGTCTTACTTGCTTATAATGAAAATGCAATAATCAGTATTGGCCAGTGTAGCTATATGTAGTTTAAAGGTTTCAATGCCTCTAACATGATCCTCTCTGTTTCAACTACCATAGTTTGAAGTACACAAAGAAACTCAATGTAGTGACAAAAAAACCCAACATTGCTAAAAGAATCGATTTGTCAGTATGAAGGCTCATGACAGCGTAAGCAACTTGTGAAGTATAGATTCCGACTAAGGAGTTTAAGTCAAGCTTCACAGACTCTTTGTGCAGCACAGTCACTGAAAAGTTAAATGTCAATAAGGCTCCACTTTTATTGTTAACCTGTATTTATGCTGCTTTTGTCAGATGATATCACATAACTATGAACTAATGATGAGATCAGCTGACTGTCTGTCCTGTAAAGGTGTTGGCTGTGATGCAGTTTTCTTGTCTGTCTGGAAAAATGGCAAAGAAGAGGATGTTTAGGTATAACTAAGGATCAATGTCGCTGTATTCTCAAGTAAAGAATTTTCAAATTAATCACCACAAATGAACCGGTAACGAAATGAGGAACCTGAGAAAACGCAATGACATATGACTTTATTTTCTAAGATAGTATGCTGTGGTGTTGATGCTATTGCATAACTTAAACATGTGAATACTTATTTTTCTGCTGTTGTGTGAGCAGGTGAAACACATTTTGGCCTGCAGAAAGCAGGATGAGAAAAATATCGAACTTCAGACGATAACTGCTCAGGGAAATAGTCAGAAACAAAAAATGGTAAGACACACAGACACACACATATTTAAAATTCTAGTTTGTCATAATGGTAAGAACACATACCATCTATGTACTGAATCATTTTAAATATGACAAGACATACTTTTTGTGTGTTTATTATTGTTAATTTTACCCTGAAAAGTAGCAGCAATAGGATTTTAGTTTTTGGATTAGTTGTTCTTATAAATGGAATAGTAGCAGAAAATTTACTCCTGCATTTTAGGGTTTAATAAATAAGATTAAACCTTGTTTGTCTGGCTGCAGGAGGATGAGAAGCAGCTGCAAGAGCAGAAGAAGGACATCCTGACTTCCCTCCTGATCCAACTCGGCAAAGAGGAGGATCTGAGTCCCAAGGATGCCAAGAAGATCTACCAGGACTGTCTGGCTGAGATGAGAAACAGACTACAAATGAAGGCCAACCTCATTCAGAAATGCTATGAAGAGGTACAACACAGATTTACTTGTAATGAATCACAAAATTACAAGCAGCCATTGTCACATTCCAACTTTTTTATGGCACACTGAGCATTATACTAACTCTAAGTTCCATTAATAAAGCAACTCTGAGGAACGTGGACTGTACATTAGGGTACATCCAATATGTTTTTTTCAGGGCCAATCCCAAAGAGGCTGTTAACCTGCATTTAAAACCCGATATAGACTGTGACTGGACACGTTGGAGCAGGGAGTTGTGATGTACGTTTTTTTAGCAAGCCATCAGGCTTTATTGGTTTCTTGTTCTACAATTTCATTTTGCAGGCAATTCTACAATTTCATTTTGCAGATGCTTTCATCCAAAGCGACATACATCTGAGAGTATTCAGATCTTTCTCTTTGTCGAATCTTGTTGCATACTTTGCTAAAAATGGTCTGCAGCATATTCTACCATTAATGTCATGCAGTCATTGTTGTGATTTATTTCTTTTTCCTCAAACGCAGCAGAGTTTAAACTGTTTTTGTAGACTCGAAAACATCCAAGACCTGTGTATGATTATTTTTTATGTGTTTATTTGATTGTAGTAGAGAGAGAACCGGGGGAAAGCGAGCACAGGAATCATAGGCGAATTGAGGGGAGGGGCCACAGGGGCCATGGCCCCTGCTGGAATCTGATTGGCCCCCTCTCGGCCACTCAGTTTGAGTGTCATGAGTTGCTTTTGAAAGAAGCAATTATTGTACATTCCATATTGTACAAGTATGTTCTGACCAGAAACCTTTTCCAGATCATGTTTATTTTGTTAGATCTATTGAATTAGGCTAGGTCTATATTTAGTCATACAATGTGAGTACAAGTAAAGAACACTCCTTGAGAAATTGCTATAGGCTACATCTACGAATAACGCAGTAATTGGGTGCCCCCCAAAATACAGCATTGGCCCCCCCCTAAAAATAAAACCTAGAATCGCCACTGACAAGAATGACACGCAGCAGTGGATCAGACATGTATACCCATGTGGCATGTGACCTCAATGGCACTTTACTGACTCACTGTTTTAAGACTGTTTTTTACTGTATAACTAAGATTTTTTTTCCCGATTGGTTGAAAGGTTAAAAAAACAAACAAAAAAAAAAAACAGGTTATCTGTAGATTAATCAATTGGATCACAGGGCATTGAGTCCACTCTAGCTGCTAATGTTATTAGCCTACATGAATTCTAAATCAACGTAAAGAGCATGTTTTTACAGTACATTATATACTCGGAACCCCTTTATTTTATACAGAGATGATAAGAGACTCAGAGCAGGCCAGTGTGCACTTGCCTATTTTGGCGGACTCTTTGGCCAAGATGCAGCCATACTGCTGAACTCTTTAACATGGTGTCAATTAGTTTGAAGCTGACTCCCAGTAAGCCTAGCCTAGCAGTCTCCCGTAGGGTGGGAGAGTTAAAAGTTGTGAAAATGTAGAGGTGTTCACAGGTGGTCTGTTCCTTCCTCCACCAAAAGTAATTAAATAATCCTGGAAGGCTGTTAAAGTAGCACTTTTTGTTTATGAAAGCACCAGCAATTGTCAGACCATTGAGAATTTGGTTAGATGTGTGTATATGTACCAACCAATCAACCAGTCCACCTGGATGCCACAGTCCCAGTAACAACGAAGTTTTCTTGTGATTTTCAAGTTGGTATCATCAGCATCACATAAAAAGGTGTCACTACAATCGTGGAAAAATAACCACCATTAAGTTTTAAATGTCCTGATTGCATTTTAAAAGGAAGACATTTTCACAGAGGTCACAGCTCAACAGAATTGGGTATCATCTGCGTAAAAACTTATGTTGTGTGCTCTTAGAAGATGTCCTTTTCATAGCACATTTATTAGAATAGAAGTGGGCCCCCCAGTGAACCTGAAGGAACTCCTGTTCTTTCTGCAGCCTAAAAAAATGGAATAATCCTGGAAGGCTGTCGATGTAGTGCTTCTCTCCTTATGAAATGAACACCAGAGACTGTCTGACCAATGAGAGTTTGGTTGCATGAGAGCATATTGACCAACCAGTTGACCAGTTATCCTGGAGACTGCAACCCTCATCTTTGGAGTTAAGAAACACTGAAACATCGAGAAAACTTGAAATTTTTATGGGCATGCTGACTTGATCCCAAAACTGTGTATTTAGGAGACACAGAGGCTACAGACGAAACAGCAGTGGTACCAGAAGAGCCAGCTTCATCTTTCCGAGCAAGAAAAGGACAATTATCAGACCTACTGCTTTGAGAAAACACTCCAAATATCAGTCATCCAGAAACGGCTCAGCAAGTATGTACACTCTCACACACACTTCATCAGTAATTTAAAATCCATTCATGTTTGTGTCACTTCCGGATACTTGCTGTTGCAGCAAATTCTTTGTTGGAAAGATGTGTATGCGTGATTATTGACATGTGTGTGTTTGTTCCAGGTGGAAGGAAACAGCCAATGAGAAATACACGGCTTTCGATCAGATGCTACAGAAGGACCCTCGACTTGCTCCCCATCTGCACAGCTCGTCCAAACACTTGTCACTTTGTTAATGAGAGTACACTCAAGCACACATCTAAACAATCAAATATCTAATGTAAATAAATATGTTATAAAGACATAAGATGAAATGTACTAAATGAATAAAATACACGCACACTAGCAGCAGATGTACATCTATTACAGATTTCTTTAATCAGCTGATGTACAACTGTTGGGTGCTCCTCTGCAACAATAAACTGCAAAAACTGAATCAACTTGAGGTACAACATATCTTTTTCTCTTCCTAAACTGGATTCATTATGTTGGTATCCTTATTACTTGTATTAGGTAGTGCATGGAGCAGATCAGAGCCGGCCCTAGGCATAGGCAGTTATAGGCAAATGCTAAGGGCGCCGACATCCACGGGGGGGTGCCACAAGCTTGCCAGGCTAACTGACATGTATTCAGGCAAGTATTTATCAACAAGCGTCGATGCAGTTTCTCTACCTTTACAAGCAAAGACGTTACGTTAGCGTCTTAGCTGCTAACGTTAGCAGCGAAGATGTTAGCGAAGACGTTAGCGTCTTAGCTGCTAACGTTCGCAACAAANGGGAGGGGGGGTTGAGAGCAGGGTCAGAGCGTTGCCGGGCAACGAAGCACACAGCTGCAACAGCACACAGCTGCAACAGCACACAGTTCAACAGATACTTAGTTTAACTGTCAAATCAGTAGAAGGAAGCAGAAGGAGAAGACCTCAAACAACCATCATTTTCTTCAAAACTGTGTGTCGGAGAGAAAACCCACTGACTTCAAATCAGTGTCACATCATTCAGCTACACTTGACAAATGAGGCACACCGTTTTTTGTTCCATTTTAGCCTTTGTAATATTTTTTGTGATTATTTATATTCATAAATTATTAATATTCTTCAATAGCTTTAACGTCATGTGACCCAGTGACTCCAAATCAGTGTCAAATTACTCAGCTAGTCTGGACAAACGAGGCACACCAAGTTATTTTCGATTTTAGCTATTTGAATATTTTTTAGAAATTATTATATTCATAAATTTGGAATACTCTTCAATAGCTTCCAGGTCATGTGACCCACTGACTTCAAATTAGTGTCAAATTACTCAACTAGTCTGGACAAATGAGGCACACCAAATTGTTTTCAATTTTAGCCTTTGTAATATTTTTTATGATTATTTATATTCATAAATTGTGAATATTCCTCAATAGCTTCCAGGTCATGTGACCCACTGACTTCAAATTAGTGTCAAATTACTCAGCTAGTCTGGACAGCTGTTTTAAAATAATGTAAAAAATGTAGAAAATAAAACTGTACATAGTTTTTGGCATAGAAGCTATTAAAAAATATTAGTAATTTATGAATATAAGCAATCAACAGAAATATTAAAATGGCTGAAATTGAAGTGAAGTGTTTTTTCTGTCACCATTTCTGGAAATGCTTCGTTTAATATAGCTTGATGATCAGCTTAAGTATGTAGGATTCCAGAGGGGTACTGTTTCACAAATTTGAGGAATCACAGAAACTTGTGTGGACCTCAAATACGTAAGTAAAAAATCTTGAAAGAACAAGATTTTAGGTTTCCATTTGAATTTAAATAACTTATGTAATAAGGGGGAA